GGGGGCACACAGAGTGGGGGACACGGTGTGGGTGTCACCCCTGTCCCCACCTGAAGAAGAAGATGATGTCAGGCAGGTTGGGGTGCCCAGGGGGGAAGAGCTCCGCGGGGGACACAATGCCGTCCAGTGTGGAGCTGGTGGTGACACCTAAGGGGGACGGGGGGGCTGGTGACACAGGGGGCCCAGGACCACTGGTGTGTCCCCAATGCCACCAGTGTCCCAGTCCCTGTCCCACCCATGTATTCCAGTGCCACTGGGATGTCCCAATGCCAGTGTCCCAGTGCCACCAGTATCCCACTCCCAGTTGCCACCAAGGTGTCCTATTCCCCATCTCACCCATGTGTCCCAGTGCCACAAGTGTCCCACTCCCAGTGCCACTGGCGTGTCCCAATACCAGTGTCCCACTCCCAGACCCACCAGGGTGTCCCAATACCAATGTCCCAGTGCCATCAGTATCCCACTCCCAATGCCACTGGGATGTCCCAATACCAATGTCCCACTCCCAGTGCCGCCAGTATCCCACTTCCAGTGCCACCAGGATGTCCCAGTGCCACCAGGGTGCCCCATTCCCAGTCCCACCCACACGTCCCGGTCCCACGGGGTGTCCCAGTGCCACCAGTGTGCCCCAGTGCCTGTCCCAGTGCCACGGGGTGTCCCAGTGCCCCCAGTGCCCTGTGCCCTCACCCAGCAGTCGGTCTCCCAGGCTGACTGGCTGTGAGGACACGGCGGCACGGGCGCCAGTGACATCGGGGGGCACCAGGATGGCCTGGCACACGTAGGAGGTGACCAGGCGGGCACTGCCCGTGCCACCACGGCCCTCGGTCACATTGTCAGCACATGATGCCATCTTCCTGCCCTGCAGGGACATGCGTGGCACACGTGTGTGTGTGTGGGAGGGACAGAGGAGGCTCTGTGGGCACCTGCGTGGGCACCAGGTGTGTCCATGGCTCACACAGGTGCCCAGACGTGTGCACACTCACATGCCCATGTCTGCACACATGTTCCCATGCCCTCCTGCCTCTGTGTGCCCAGGTGTGTGCCCACACGTGTGCCCATGTCTGCACACATGTTCCCATGTCCTCCTGCCTCTGTGTGCCCAGGTGTGTGCCCACCCATGTGCCCATGTCTGCTCACATGTTCCCATGCCCTCCTGCCTGTGTGTGTGCTCAGGTGTGTGCCCACCCATGTGCCCATGTCTGCACACATGTTCCCATGTCCTCCCACCTGTGTGCCCAGGTGTGTGTCCACCCATGTGCCCATGTCTGCACACCTTCCCATGCCCTCCTGCCCACATGTGTGCCCACCCGTGTGCCCATGTCTGCACACATGTTCCTATGGCACTCCTGTGTGTTGCCCATGTCTGCACACATGTTCCCATGTCCTCCCACCTGTGTGCCCAGGTGTGTGTCCACCCATGTGCCCATGTCTGCACACCTTCCCATGCCCTCCTGCCCACATGTGTGCCCACCCGTGTGCCCATGTCTGCACACATGTTCCTATGGCACTCCTGTGTGTGTGCCCATGTGCCCATCTCTGTGCCCATACCTGCCCACATGTGTGCCCACACACGTGTGCCCATGTTTGCATGTGTGCCCATGTCTGCTTCCCTGTGTGCCCATGCACCCAGGTATGTACCCACCTATGTGCTCAGGTGTGTGCCCACATGCCCAGTTGTGTTGCCACCTCTGTGCCCGTGTGCCCAGGTGTGTGCCCATCCACCTGCCCATGTCTGCTGCCCTATGTGCCCAGGTGTGTGCCCACCTGTGTGTTCACGTCTGCATGGGTGTTCCCATGCCCTCCTGCCTGTGTGTGCCCACCTGTGTGCCCACGTTTGCACACGAGTGCCCATGTCTGCTCCCCTGTGCGTCCACGTGCCCAGGTATCTGCCCAGGTGTGTGCCCACGTTTGCATGTGTGCCCATGTCTGCTGCCCTGTGTGCCCAGGTATTTGCTCAAGTGTGTGCCCACCTGTGTGCTCACGTGTGCACAGATGCTCCCATGCCCTCCTGTGAGTGTGTGCCCACCTGTGTGCCCATGTTTGCACATGAGTGCCCATGTCTGCTCCCCTGTGTGCTCACGTGCCCAGGTGTGTGCCCATCTGTGTGCTCACATCTGCACAGGTGCTCCCATGCCCTCCTGTGAGTGTGTGCCCACCTGTGTGCCCATGTTTGCACATGAGTGCCCATGTCTGCTCCCCTGTGTGCTCACGTGCCCAGGTGTGTGCCCATCTGTGTGCTCACATCTGCACAGGTGCTCCCATGCCCTCCTGTGAGTGTGTGCCCACCTGTGTGCCCATGCCTACCAGTGTGCCCACACATTACACTCGTGTGCCCATGCCCACCCTCCTCCATGCCCACACAGGTGCCCACCGGTGTGCCCAGCCCTGCCCAGGTGTGCTGGCTCACCTGGTGGCCGCAGGGGCTGAGGTGGAAGCGGTGGCTGTAGCGCAGCCCCTTGGGGGTGAAGCTGGGGGCAGTGCCCACCCCTGTGCCCGTGCTCAGCGCGGGGAACTCGTAGTGCAGGGTCTGGCCTGGCAGTGCCACCGTCAGGCTGCAGTTGTTGTAGCACAGCGACCGCAGCTGGGGACAGGGACAGCAGGTCGGGGGGGTGGTGGCACCCACTGGGGACACCCCCGTGGGGACCTCGGAGGGGGGGCATCAACCCTCAGGGGTGGCAGGGCTGTGGTGGCACACAATTGGGATCACCCATATGTCACCCACCCCAGGGTAAGACAGTGTCACCCACCCTGTCATTCATCCAGGATGGTCACAGGACTGGTGTCACCTCCCTGGAGATGGCATGGGGATGGCATCACCCACTAGGGTCAGACAGTGTCACCCACCCTGTCACCCACCCAGGATGGTCACAGGGCTGATGTCACCTCCCTGGAGATGGCCAGAGGATGGGGTCACCCACCCAGGGTCACCCACGTGTCATCCACCCAGGGTCACCCACATGTCACCCACCCCAGGGTCAGACAGTGTCACCCACCCAGGATGGTCACAGGGCTGGTGTCACCTCCCTGGTGATGGCCAGGGGTTGGTGTCACCCACCCGGGGCCACCCACCATGTCAACCACCATGGATGGCTGTGAGGGACTGGTGTCACCTCTCTGGGGATAGCTGGGGACTAGCATCACCCACCCAGTGTCACCCACTCATGACAGCTGAGGGAACTGGTGTCACCCACCCAGGATGACCACAGGGTCTGGTACCACCCACCCAGGATGACAACAGGGGCTTGTGTCACCCACTCAGGACAGCTGAGGGAACTGGTGTCACCCACCCAGGATGACCACAGGGGCTGGTGCCACACACCCAGCATGACCAGAGAGACTGGTGTGACCCACTCAGGACAGCAGAGAGAACTGGAGTCACCCACCCAGGATGACCAGAAGGGAACTGGTGTCACCCACCTACGATGGTGTCACCCTCCCAGACCTGCCCAGTGTCACCCACCTGAGCCACCTTGTGTGTGTGCAGGGCGTGATGCCACCCCTCCATGTGCCACTGGCATCACCCCCCACCCCTGGGGGAATCTGGGGACAGTCACCTGGTTGCTGTGCGTGCCAGGACCGCAGGGGTGGCAGGTGCCATCTGAGGGGTGACCCCGCAGGTAGGTACCAGGTGGGCAGGGCCGGCAGGTGCCCGAGTTGGGGTCCACAGCACTCCCGGGGGGACAGGGGGCACAGGAGCCCCCAGGCTGGGGGACACAGCGGCGGCAGAAGGAGGCCACCCCCCCCAGGACGTTGGTGACATTGATGGAGTAGAGCTTGGCCACGTCACTGGTGTATCTCCGGCCCTGGCACCGAGAGCACTGTCACCATCACCCCCTGGCACCCCCAAAGTGGGCACACCCCCAAATTGGGGACCACCAGGGCCACCCCGAAGTGGGGACCCCATCCCTCAAACTGGGGACCCTAGGGTCACCTGGAAGTGGGGATCCCCCATCCCCCAAATTGGGGACCACCAAGGGAAGTGGGGACCCCCCGTCCCTCAAACTGGGGACCCTAGGGTCACCTGGAAGTGGGGACCCCCCATCCCCCAAATTGGGGACTACCAAGGGAAGTGGGGACCTCCTGTCCCTCAAACTGGGGACCCCCAGGGCCACCCCAAAGTGGGAACCCCATCCCTCAAA